ACTGATTGAAAAGTGTGTTTTGTTCAACACACCTCCCCCATAGTTTTTCAGTCACATTTTTTGTTTTACATTGTGAAAGTGGTTGTGTGGGTTTTGTATGTGGTTTTTGTGTTTTTCCTCCCTTAAAATGGCTGAGTTGTCTCTGAAGAGCTGACTGCTACAAGGATGAGATAGATGCTAACCTGTGCACATCATTTGAATGTTTGTTTTCTGTCCTGCAAAGAACTTGGGTCAGAAGAACAGCACAGTGTTTTCTCAGCACTTTCTGCTGAGTGAGGAGAAACGTTGTTTTGGCCTATGTTTATTTACTCTTTTCCCTTCAGACAGTCTGCAACAAGGAGGAATATGAGCTTCTCTATAAATGCTTTGGCACAATAAAGCGAGCAATAGGTTGACCATTATAATGGTATGTTTTGAGGTGTCTTCAGTAACACATCACATCACGGAGTTATGTAACCTTAACTGGTGGACTGGGGACTGGGGCCTACATACAGATCCTTTTCACCCATTTCATATGGTGTTCTGTTGGAGCATAAAATAGAACTGCATTCAGTGTTTCTTTTGCATGTAAATCAGTGTCCTCTACACTTGAATAAATAAAACAAGCAAATGCTGTTTCTTTACATGAGATGTGATGTTTGAGTAAAGGGAAATTTCACCTCCCTGCTTCGCAATGTAGATGTCATCGTTACAGAAAGCCAAGCATCAGTGCAGTTTAGTGTTGCTGCCTATCAAACTGAAGAAATACTTCATGTCAAGCCTGGGATTCTCTACAGAGGCCTAAATCCAGCATATACATGCATCATTAACCATTGCTATCATGAATACTCTAATGCCACAACTGTCAGTGAGTTTATTCTTGCCATCACCCATTTTTGAGGTTGCAGGAATCGCACTGAACCAAATTTAAAAGGGAACTGTTGTACATCTCAAGTTGCATCATCAAAATGTGAAATCTTCCACTACACTGGTTACAATATTTTATTCAGCAGCAGGGAGAACCAAGCATAGCCGAGCAACTTATGTCATGTTCATGGCATCAGGACTGTTGCTCATAACTTTGAGAAGGATAAAAGTATTCTACTGACAATGCTTAAGTTGATGCTTATATTGAGAGAGGTGGAAAGAGGCATAAACCTACACTGATTGATAATCCCTATTTCATCCTTCCAGTTTACTTTCATCGCTTTGAAAGTGCTATATGAACACTGCATTTTTATTTTTTTCTTTAAATTACTGTTGATAGCTGCTTTCTATTTCCTGCCTTAAGTGTTCTCTTCTTCTGCTGTTCCAGGCTCCACCAGTCATTGTTCCCACAATTGCCTTTACATAATCCCCATTCCTTTCTCACCTCTAAGATTCATATTCAAGTTGAATTTTTACAGGGAATTTTGCTTTGAGACCAAAGTAGTTTTGTGCATATATTTCTTGCCAGCCTCTCCCTCCAAAGTCTGTAGGTTTTTAAACTCAGTCTTCTGGAAGGATGTGACGCACCACAGGCAATCATAATTTTATTTTAATAAAGTTATTTGTCAGTGAATTAAAATTCAGAACTGTAAGTTTTCAGTTAATTAAATAAGAAAAAATGACCAAAAAGTGCAACAGGCCCTGTTTTTCATTATTAAGTTTAATTTATTTCACACTGCATTTTCAGCTTTCAGATTTTCTTCATTAACAATAAAATCTAAAAACAAGAGTGAAAGAAAATGTGATCAGTTAACCATGGAAAGCTAAAAAGCAGTTTAGTTCTCTATAAACCAAACATTATTGAATTTTCAAGTAATGGTCTCATAGTCTCAAGTAGCTGGAAATTAAACAATTGGTGCTTTGTTTATGCACATTACTTCTGATCTAATTGCTTTTGCTATAAATGATTATACCTATTCCTTATTTAGCACGCCCAGTGCATCCACTTAGACGTGCATGATTCATTTCGTTCTTACTTCAGGATAGATGAAAACACTGTACTGAAGCAGGAAGTTAGGACTAAGAATATGTAATACTTGTGTACATGCTACTTAATGTCCATCTGGTTCAAAACAATCTGTGAGAGCAGAGTGTAGAAGCAGACTAAACTACATGTGCTTCCTCCTGCTGCCGCTGAGTATGCCCTATAATCGTGCAGATATTCTGCACTTCAGGGTAGCAGCAAATAGTAAGCCTGTGCACTGAGTTGTGTATTCCACCCCAGAGCATGCTTTCTTGCATGCTGATGCATGCCCAATTGCTTTGGCTTATTTTCTTTACAGAAAATGCATATGCCACTACTGAAGTGATAGAAAATAGTCTCTTTTTTAAAGTAAGGGGTAAGGGAAAGGAATAATGCTTAATGGCTGCAATTGGGCAGCAAAACATTGTATGTAAATTTACACATTTTGACTTTTTGTGTAGACAGATGGTCGGTTAAGTCGAACCTAGATATTTCCTCCCATGACGATTTTGTAAAGCAGTGTAGCAGATTGTCAGAAAGTACACTGTTCTAATGGGACAGATTTATTGACCTCTGGGTTGTTGTAGTGGTGCTAAAACTGCGAATCGTAGCTCAGTGCTGGATCCTGGTGGATCAACGTATGCAAGTAGCTGCAGTCACACAGATTGCATTCCTGGGTGACTCTGCCTGTGAAGAATAGTAATTTCTTGCTTCTTAATCTCCCTTCTCTTAGACCAGATGTCTGAAAATAATGAAGATAAACCCACGGCTGCATTTAGTTCTCTGAATTATAGGGCACAACTTTTCAAGTCCTATGAACTCAGTGGCTCCATCCAGCTGCCTCCTCCCCTTCTTCCCCAGCAAAATAACGTTTCTACACTTGGTTCCATTTCTGTCTCAGTAATAGTGCTCACCAGCTCTGAGTGGTTGAACTACCTTCTATTTCTTCTTTGGCAGCCTCCTTTCTCCAATATATAATCAGGTTGCTATTTGCTCTAAGAAACAACTTGATATGCACTTCTGCAGTGAGGCTGGGAAAACAGTGCTTTCCGAAGTCTGTCAGTCAGGTAACAGAAGCAAAGGTACTTTTTGTAACTGAGAAGCTGTAACATCTACCTTGACAAGACTGACTCAGTGCATTAACTTGAAATTTCAACCTCACTCCAGATCACTGTATTGTGTCAGCTTCAGGCTTCGGAATTTAGCTTTGGAACATACTTGTTTCTGAAGCTACATTTAAACTACAGAAGTAAAGTTATTTTAAAAGAAAGCTTAGACTAAATTCCTAGGAAGGAACAGGTTATGTTTCTAAGCACTCTCCAAGTCATTGGTATTTTAGTAAGAAGGCAGCGTGAATGAAAGCTGACTTACCGATCTCTGTCGTCACTTAGAAGTCAGTGCTCAGGCATTCATTTAGAAGACTGAATACATTTTTCACTAGAGCTGTACAGGTTTTGACATTCACAGTTAATAGTGATGCTCTATGGGCCAGAAAATATAACTGGTGAAAGTGTCAGGTCCTGATCCTGCTTTCAATGAAGCTAGAGGAATTTTAACCACCACTTTTTTATAGAAGACTAGAAGCAGAAACAATTGCTGTTCAAATGCATCTAGTGGTTGTATATCTGCATGTTGCAGATTTACTCACAATATTTTGAATATATTTTAAAAAGACAGTCTCTCATTTTCTAGGGCATTGTTGTATTTTAGGCTCTCCATAACTAATTTCTATTTATACAGCAGATCAAAAAAACTAGCTTGCAGGTATCAAAAAGATGCATGTTTTCTCAGATATAAGAGTTTTCTCTCTTTAGTTTTATGCAAATAGTTTATTATTAATGCTTTTTAAAAGACCGCAGGAAGTACATAGACTTTTTTTTCTTTTACTCTTTTTTTCTGTATGGTTAATAGATTTTTTTTTTTCCTTTCTGTATGGTTAATACCAGACATTTATTTTTTTTTGCTTTCATTTGTAAATACTTTAAACTCACTCTACAGAATGGAGAAATGGACTATAATTATTTAAATGTATACATGAAGATAATAAGAATTGGGATCCTCATTTTTAGTCACTTGCATCACTTTAATGGATCTCTAACATGAAAATTTTATTTTCCAAAATGCCACTACCAGCACTTCTTGCCATTTGTCATCTTGGAAAAACATTTAACTTCTAACTTAAGTTCTCACTTCATATTTTTAAATTACCTTATATTTAAAAAGGCTCCTTCTATGTCTCAGCAGATTTAGGCAGTTTCATGCTTTTGACTCAAATATTCTTATAGGCAGTTATACTACAGATGTTTTGGTAAAATCACATATGGGATTCTAAAAAAAATGACAAGTTGAGTTAGTATCACCCTGGGCACAAAGTTGTGCCTACATGCATGTTCCTGTGAAATGTATTCTGTGGTAATGTTTTTGCATTCTGCATAAATTCAGTGCTAGTCAAACGTCTTTTGTAGTTGAAAATAAACCATGACTGCACCCTTTGATGATGATGGCAATGATAATCAAAATAGAAATACGCTAAACAAAGTATTTAGGACACTGAGATATCCCAGAAAAGAAAGGCATGATTAATAGAGAGCCTTATTTTTGAAGTGTGAGATTATTTATTAAAAAAAAAGAAAAAGCCTTTCTTGACCTGATGTTTGAACGATGTCATCATGCTGCCGTAATGATATAATAAGAATGGAAGTGTCTTGTGTTTATAGTATTCAGTAGAAAAGGTGGTTTTACCAGCGACTTTTGTGTTGGTGAAATACTCTGTGCAAAATTCCCCCTGAAATTAGCCTTTATTTTATATCTTCCATCTTGGATTGCAATAGTGGGACTTTGTTTTGTTTTCTTTTACTTTTAAACACTTATATTTAGTTTAAAGAGACAAAAATCTTTAATTACCATCAGGCCAAAGAATGGTTAAACTTAATTGAAGAATAAGTTTAATAAAGTTTAATAAAAGCTATATTACCTAATCAAATAATTTAGTATTGTGCATTCGTACTGTTGTACTAGCTATAAAAATCTGAAACAGCTTATAACATCATATGGTTATATAGGTACTTACCATTTTAAAAGTAGCATTGAGTGGAATCTGTAGAATGTCCCCACGGTGTAATCAATAACTGATGAAAGTGATGAGTCTTTATGGTATTATTCTGAAGTGCAAAATCTGAAATTACAGGAAATGTACTGGCAGTTATATATTTTGTTGAAAGAGGGATTGCTCAGACATATTAACAACAAAATCGATGCCTGCTGCCTTCTACAGAGTACAAGGACAATGATTTATCCTGAAAACATCCTTCAGCTGAGTAACTAGGTAATGTATACTGCCCTGCATGCACGTGTTAGGCTCCATTTCATGAAGCAGGATTCCATGGCAGTGATTGAAGTAAACAGATGGAGTAAGAGAAGGACAGATGGATACCAAAAAATTATAGCCACCTTTTTTTTTTTTTTTTGGTACCTGTGCATTAACTGCAATAAATTGATTTATTTTCATTTAGTGAAATAGGAAAATTATAATTATGAAGCCAAAGCACTACGTAGTCCAAAACCATTCAGTTTTGAAAGCATGTGTTTGTAGTGATTAGTAAGAGTTCCAGATGGGTTTCATCGGAGAGTCAAATTTTCTGTAGACAAGATTCTTACTACCTACTCCAGTCCTTTTTTTTCTTTTTTTTTCTGTTAGGGAGATATTAACTTCTTTCTTATTCAACAGGGGAAAGATTATTTGGTTATTCTGCCATACTGGAAAGCTGTGAAGTATTTCTTGTGAGACAGGCTGCTGATTTGAGTTTGCACATGCAAGGGGGCTGCTGCTGCACCACGAGGGCTTTGCACAGCCTGGGATGGAACTGAATGTGGAGAGGCAAAAGTGAGGCTAAGAGTCAAGGAGGCCCCTTTTCTTCCTGCAGCAGCTCTAGATTTCACGATTAGAAAATCAAAACAGATCTATTATATATATACTAGGAGTCCTTATCTGCTGTGTGGCACAGTTGCTCTGTCCCATACTTGACCTTGACTTAATTTGATCTTCCCCGTGGTTAAATAGGAAGTTCAGCTGTGAGCCAAATCATTTCTCAACACCTCTCATTCTACCAGTAACTGCCAGCTTGTTGCTGATGCTGTTGGATTTTTATATGAGCGTCAGTCCATTAGAAATTGGATGGTGACCATCCAGGCAATTTGCATTTATTGCAGAATGTCTTGCAATTAGTACACTTTCAAAATTGTAGAATGCAAGTAGAAATCATCCTTGTATTCATAATGTTTGAGATGTGAAAAAATATAGTCAAAGAACATAATTATTCTCATGCTTGTAAAAATTTTTATCATAAGGTTTTCTTGCATAAAGGCAATCCAAGTGTAGCTTAGTAGCTATATAGTATTATTTATATATATTTATATACATAGCATATATTTATATATGTAGTAGTATTTTAAACAGATAGGAGATAAATTACGTGGCTTTCTTAAATCTAAAAGAGATAATTTAAAATCTTAACTGGGGTTAAAAGTGATGAATTCTCTCTCTTGTTTTCATAGTTTAGAGATGGAAAGGAATAATAGCTTAATCATTTTGAAAGCATAGAATTACTTTGGAAATTAAATTTGGACTGGAATTTAGTATTAATTTATTGGAATTTAGTATTGAAAACAAATTTGCGACAGTAGAACAGACACTTTCTTAAATCCTTCTTATCGGTAATGGCCCTAATATATAACCCTTCAGCCTACTGAGACCTGCTAGAGCATTGTCATACTAGTGCAGAACAGTAATTATTTTGAAGATGACCAAGGAAATGGAAAAGGCCATACGTACTGCTGTCAGTACTTATCAGCAGTAAGTGTAAGTGATGTGCAGCTTGGTTTATATATTTGATTTGTATTCAACCTACACTTACACTGCCCTTTCTCAAACTGCTTGATCACTTCTAATTCCACAGAGGAATGTTTTTAGAAAGGACTGCAATCTTGTACAAGCTTCTCAACAATCACTAAATTTGAGCTTCTTGCCCTGATGTGGAGAGAGAAAGGCTGTGTATCTACTGCTGAAAAGAGGGCTTTGTTAAAATCTGGTAGTCCTCAGCTATTATGCACTAAAGGCTGTTACCCAAGTGCTAAAACTTGTCTGAGCTTCAAGAAAGAACAAATCTCTATAAAGTGGTCAAAATTCAAGTGCTTGATCTTATTTCTACAAACAACAGCACGCTAGTTTAAATGCTTTCTTGAGCTATCCTCCCTGTATACTTGGTTCCTCTGGTCTGAGATAGAGTCCACACACATTAACTCATTAACGTAATACAAGATCACTGTGAAACAGCTGTGGGACATGCTTGTCAACAGAAAGGTCACCGTCTTCTGTACAATTACAAATGGGAATAAATGCTCAGTACATTCACTGCTTTTGGAGCATCTGTCAGAAGCTGAGTATCCAGCAATCTTCCTCTTTAGGAAATTGCTCTTGCCAAGGAATTGTTTCTTTTTGTATTTTTGTCAACCAGCTGATCATTTACAAATGAGCTGAGCTTCATTATCTGAGCTGCAAGTTAAAACAGATACATTCTCCATATATATGCAATATGTACGAATTATCCCAGTGTGTTAGTTCAGGCACGAAGATCAACTAAACAGCAATCTCTATTCTGTATATGAACATAAAATATTAAGCTTAAGCTATAGGTATTATTTTGGATAATGAAAATAACTTCAAAAATAGTTACTTCAGTTTGTTTTTATCTCAACAGTGTAACAGCTACAAACGATAGAGCAGTTTATGAAGGCAATATAATAATTTGTACAATTGGTAAAAGAATACACCAGCAAGAGTTTTGTGGGCTTGGGAGTTCAGAATCCCCACCTCAACTTTGTGTGCCTTTGCCCAGGTGTGGCTGGCTGCAGAGAGGGTACTCTGTGTGTTGCAGCCATCCTTCCTTCTGGAGCCATGCTGTTGCCACAGTCAGAAATCCCTACTATTTTTAGTTGGAGAAAATAACTACAGAATATTAGATATTGTAGGTGATGTGTTTTCTTTTTTGAAGTTTATCTCCTTTTCATCCCAGATGAATGTAAATAGTATCTTCTTTTCACCTCATGTGTCTGTTCTTGTAGAAAAGTGCTACTGAATTGTTCTGAATAGATCTTTGCTTAATTTCAAAGCTTAAATTAGTGCTTAATAAGAAAAATGGGGTCGACATTACTGATGCACTGCTAAATAGTAGATTAAAAAAGAGAAACACAGTGCTCAGTTTTACTGGTCATTGTTAAAGCCACTTCTGCTCATGTCTTTGAGATTCTCATCTTCTTTTCTCAGTTACTTAATCCAAAATCTTTCAAAAAAAAAAAGAAAAAAAAAAAAGGAAAGTCAGGCAAGACCTTTTCCACCTGACATTAATTGTATTTATTGAAACGGTATGTTTTTTTGGGAGGGTGGGGGCAAAAAGGAACTGGAAAGCCATGACTAAAACCAGTTTATATCAGTTGGCAAGCACTGAGTGAATGCAGAGACAAGCTAAAAGAGACGGCTAGGGTCATACAGTGGAACGTAAGCATTCAAACATAGAACATTATATATAGCAAGGTTTGTGATAAAGAGGAGAGCGAATGAATGTATGAGAGAACTTAAAAGGTAACAAAACAAAGATTATTATAAATAAATTAGAAATAAAACTGAGGAAATAGGCTAACAACAAAAAAATAAAGTAGTAGAATCAACAAACTTTAAAATGCCATAAGAGATGCAGAAGATTTTTATCCATTTATATGTGCAGGAAGAATGCAGCACATCTGTTGCTGCTAGCTAGGCCTGAACACTGTGGATGTGAGCTGCTCCATACCCGCTGCACTAGGAGTTGATGCCTGTCTCTTGCAGAGTCCAGAGAAACAGTATACATGTGGCTTTAGTTCATCTACCAATGAACTCATGTTATTGCAAGTGAGAAATCTTGTCGCCTCTACAGAAAATGAAGTTTTCAGATTTTTTTTTCTGCACTGGTGAAGAAGTTTTAAAATATATATATATATATTATTTAAAAATGTGTACAAAAATGCTTAATAAGTTTGTGATTAATAAGTGATTAATAAGTTATGTAATGTCCATTCTGGGGAGGGTTTAGGGTGGGAAGAGAAGGGGATATGACAAAAAAGGGTGGCAGAATCCAAACTGATTTTCAGAACAATGAAAAGTAAATAGGATGGTAAGACTGCTGACATTCTTTGGAATATTTACCTCTAACAATTGAGTATTAATTTCGTACAAGAGAAAGGAACTAAAAAGCTTGTTGTTTTTATATGGTTAGCATAGCTTCAGTTGTTAATGAGATTATTTTAAAAATACTAAATTCTGAATTTCTGATAGTACTTCCTTCTGACTAGTGGCAGCCTTTTTACCATTAAGATAAATCATATTGTTTTTCCTTGGATACTTCTGAATTTGCTTAGAAATTGCAAAATGTTGGGTACTTGCACAGATAAGAAGAGATTAAGCAGAAGCCATTTTGTAAGTAATCAGATTTTGTGATAATGTTCTGCAGAATGACTCACAATATAGCCACCTACTTAGCAGTAGGAGTGGTATGTGTAACTAAAGAACTTATTAGAGTGATGAAGAGCATGTTCAAGGTACGTTGATTTCCCTCAGTCCTCTTTTACTACCCCCAGGCATTCAGCTTGCTAAAGCACTTATCTCTGCAGATGATGATGTCTGCTGTATGATTTGTTTCACGTCAGCTATCTTTCACACACATCTGTGCTATTCCTTTGCCTCCATCCAAAAGTACAAATGTAGGATCACATGTCATTGCATGTCCTTGCATATGATGACAGGCATTTTGATGTGTTCAGCTTCTGCCAAACATTTAATCAGGCCAGAGCTGTTCAGTAAGATTCACTACCTAGATTTTTAAACAAACCAAAATCAGTTATAGCCATTGTAATTCTCACTGTACTTCAAACTGAAGACTAGTAAGCTGTTGATTAAGAACAATAAATCACTGAATATGCTTAAACCTTTACATGTTTAGAACAAAATGCTTTGTGGTTCTTATTTGCTTTATCTGTTACCATAAATTTACAACTGAATCTTAAGCATTGATTGTCCTTATGGTACTTTCATTTGGAAATGTCAGGTATTTCAGGAGAAGTTTTACTGCTAGAAAATCTTTAATT